CCCCAAAACCCCAAAACCCCAAAACCCCTCAAGCTTGAATATTCATTCTTAATCAGAGCACATTAAATTTTGCAAATATTATTTATGAATAGCTTCAGATCTCTCCAATATATAATTAAATATTAAAATGAATTCAAATATTCTGGATAAAAAGTACAAAGAAGATAATAATTATAGGGATAACGATAAGGGCGAAGTTGAGATGGCTAAAAGAGGAAGATCTCGAAGTCCTCGCAATAAGGACGACCGCAACCATCACTCACCAGACAGGGACAGAGTTCATAAGAGATCGTCTAATGGAGAAGATCGCCATATAAGAGATAAGGAAAGAGATAGAAGAAGAAATCACAGCAGAGATAGAAGACCCAGTAGAAGCAGTAAAAGGTCTAAAAGAAGCAGAAGTAAGGATAGAAAAAAACATCATTCATCTAGGAGACATAGGTCCCAACATAAAAAGCATAGAAGCCAAAGAGATAGAAGAAGAAGTAGCTCATCTTCATCTAGCTCGTCATCATCTTCAAGCAGTTCTTCATCCTCAGATGACTCTAGCAAAAAGCGTCTTAAGAATAAGAAATCTAATGTTTCATAGTAAGTATATTTATAATAATCTAACATTTTCTAATATAGACATGTTCACCCTTATTTCTAAAGGAGAAAAGGACAAGAGCCTGAGGAATCAAATCCAAAATTATTTTGGGATGGTTTCCAATGGGTGACTAGAGCTCAACCAGTATTTGACGTGGCTTAAAACGCTGTAGATAAAGCCACCAAAGCTGTGACTGGTGAGGACAAGCAGCAAAATGAAGAAAGAGTCGCTGCTTCAAGAACTGTGATTGTTGAAAACATTGCCCTTGACTTGGGTCTTACTGCTAGAGACATTTAAAAGTTTCTTCTAGACCACTTAAACTAAATATAGGAAACAGATATAGAGATAATAGATATTGATATGGAATATGGTCCTACTTCGATAGCTGTAGAGCTTAAAGAAAAATGGATGGTTGATAATTTCAAAAAACTTGATGGTATTGATTGTTTAGGTGAGAAATTAAAAGTCCGACGAGTTAACGAAGAAACTGCTTAAACTAGTGCAATTGCCGCTGCAATTACAGTAGCTGCATTGAGATCACTGACACATACTGGTAGCGGTGTCGACGGTGAAGCTGAGTTGAATCTAAGAGCAAGCTCACTAAAAACAGTGAACCCTTCTTCTGTAATCAAAATTTCAAACATCTTTAACAGAGATGAAGAACTTACTCCTGAAATTTATGAGGAACTATATGAGGACATGGAGGAAGAATTCAGAAAAGTGCCTCATCTTAAGAGAATTAAGATAGTCAGGAATTCTGAGGAAAAGCTAGGTGCTGAAGTTGGCTCAATTTTCGTTGAGTTTATGGATCGATAGAGTTCAACTCACGCGATTAAGAAGATTAAGGGTAGAATCTACGATGGTAGGGAAATAAAAGCTACCTATGTAGATGAGAAACTATATTATAAGGATCTTATAATTGAATGAGAACGGCTACAAATAGTCCTCATTCAGTATCTATATACGACCTAAATTAATAGTGACATTATTGGATTAAGAATGAAATCTTCAAGGATTTAAGATATTTAATTCCATAAAACTTAACTAAAACTTAGTCTGTTTATATATTTAGTATTAAATAGGAGTCATATTTCAAAAATCATCTACTTATAAGTCATACTTAGTTTTATTGATATTACTCTTCTTTCACTACTCTTTTCTCTTTAGAAGGAGTTTTAAGTCGGAATCACTTAAAAGCCGAACTCTGCCAATTTTCTCTCTTTCAGTTCTGAATACCAACTCTTTTCTTCTTTGGAATCCATTTACAGCATCCATGAACTTAAATTGATTGTATTTGTTAATGAAGTTATCTAGCTTGTTGCAGTCATTGAATTTTATGTCATTTTTAAGTAATTTAAGCTGCTCATCCATTCGGTCTGGACTCACTGATTATTATCCACTCATCAGCATTGACTTTTCTTATTCAATGTAACTTTTCAATTCCTAGTCGTTTCTACCTACTCTGAACTTCAACTATTTTTGTAATGGTGAAGAGCCTTCATTCTAAATAGTTGAAAGATTAGCATCCTTTCTCATGCTAGGCTATTTTGAATGATACTATTTCTTTGCTATTTAATTTCTTAACTAGCTGGTTTCTCTCTAATTGCTATGCAAATTACTCTCTATTTTTCTGCTATTTAATTGCTTAGGAGTTTTAGAAACTTTGTTTCCAACATGATCCTATTAGGCATATCTGCTGAATAGTACAAGCTTTGGCTTTTCATTTTTCTATGAATTAAGGCTCAAGGGAAAATCCATATTTATAAGATTTGGTGAGTGATTTCTTTTCAATGGAGGCAAAGCATTTTCATTAGTTGCAACTCCAGTTTATCCTCTGTTATATTAGTCACCATAATCCTATTTATCTGTGTACTTTGCAAACGCTGAACTCTTCTAGTCTTAAATCTGGATGACAGAGCTCATGCAATCACTAAATGGTCCTTTAGCAATCATTCCTAAATCTTTGTTATGAAGGACCTCAATCTAATTCATAAGTCTGGCTAACGATTGCTCCTTTTAATTGATTTACTGCTGCACCAAGTATTGATTATAAAGCTGATCCTTTTATTTAATATATTTGATTTTAAGACTTGTGATTTCTGACCCGGATTTCATTGAAACTTTCACCTTTTGACCTTTAATTGGTCTGATATTAGAGTATCTTCTTTAATTCGTCATAGTTGAAGGATTCCAATGAGTAGATGAATTCATACTTTGGTCTTTTGTATTGATTTGACTTTCAATAGAAGGTGCTCCATTCTTTTAAGATTTCAAAAGGTAAAATGATTGATTCATCATCTCCTTAGATTTTGAATCCACAGTTCTAAGTACTTCCCTGATTTTGATTACATCATTTAGCTAACTCCTTTTTTATCTTATGGGATCTGGCACCTAATAGGATTATTGCTCATCCAGTATAATCTCAAGTTTCTTTATGTCCTTACTTGGTTTTGTGTCCAAAACCTTCATTTCAATGATCTTCTTTGTTGAGTGATTGTTCATTCTCTCCTCTGACTCTTCGGTAACTGTAAAATTGAGTTTGGGATTAATAATTAGTTTATTTCTTTGATTGTTGTCCTTTTCAACTTTCAATTTCTTTATTTTATCAAAACCTTCTGACATTTTAAACATCTTCTGAATGTTCTCGTCATTGTTGAATTAAGACCAAGAGCTTTCCATATCCTTTAGCTTTTAAAGGGCATTTTTCTCCATTTCCAATCTCTCAATTGATTTTCCATAAAGATTATCGAGATCAGCTTATTTGTGCTTTGACCTAGTTATTCCAACTGTAGTTCTACGAATGTTTTTTGTGCTGACTAATGTCCTTCTTTGAGATTAGTGACTGCGAGCATCATAAGAGGAGTAAACTGAAGTCATATCATCTATTTAAGTGGATTTTTGAGGTGATGTTTGATTCATTTTACAAATTGACAAGAATATTATCAAACTTAACTCTTTAATATTATTGATTTTCATCTTTTATCATGATTTATGAATTTAAAAATCCAGATCCATGGGGTTTTGGGGTTTTGGGGTTTTGGGGTTTTGGGG